TAAAAGCAAATCCAAAACCTTCCCGCCAATGTCCCAAAACATTAATGTATGGAACTTTGTAAAAAGAGTCAGTGAGGATATCATGACCGTTTTACACACTAAAATTAAGGAAGGCAACCTTACTCCTGTTAATAGAGCGGCCCTGGAAGATCTAAAGAATAATAGAAATATAGTGATCAAAGCAGCCGACAAGGGTGGAAACGTGGTCATAATGAGTACTACACTGAAATGGTTATGAGGATTTTGGACAATACAGTTTGGTACCAACCTATACAAGCAGCATTAATGGGATCGTTTCAAATTGAACTTGAGAAGATCTTGGAGGAGGCCTTTGACTCAAATCTCATTGACAAATGTACCTTTGATTTTCTTAAAGTCCCCTTCCCCAGAACTCAAGTGCTTTATGCTCTACCCAAAATACCTAAATCCTTGTCGAGGCCCCCTGGGAGGCCTATTGTATCTGGGTGCGGGTCACTAACTGAAAACATTAGCTCTTATATAGATCACTTTCTCAAACCCCATGTTGAATCCCTGGCCTCATATGTTAGGGATACTCCTCATCTCATCTCCCTCATCCAAAATCTAGAAGTACCCTTAGACACCCTTTTGGTAGGCTTGGATGTTGAGGCACTATATTCGTCCATTCCACACTCCAAGGGGCTGAAAATAACCGAGAGATTCCTCGCCACCTTGGGGATCACAGAGAATGCGCATAACACATTCTTACTACAACTTTTAGAATTTGTTCTCACCCATAACGCCTTTCTCTTTAATGATCATTATTATCTACAGAAACAGGGTACCGCTATGGGGACTAAATGTGCACCCTCCTATGCCAACCTATACCTAGGGGGATGGGAACAGGAGTTATGGGCCAGGGAGGACTTATCTATGTACCTGTGCCATGTGTTGTCATGGCATAGGTACATAGATGACATCCTGATGCTGTGGACAGGGGGGGGTGATCTATTGAGAGATTTTGTTGACATCCTGAATTTTAACACCTAGAACTTAAGATTCACCATGACGGCCAATGTGGAAAAACTGCCATTTCTGGACATTCTGGTGTGTAAGGACAATGGGGGGGCCCTGTACACCAGTCTGTACAGAAAAGACACAGCAGGCAATGCCATTTTGGAGGCAACCAGTGCCCACCCCAAGTGCTTGAAAAATAGCATCCCGTATGGGCAGTACCTAAGGATTAGGAGAAATTGTACTATAGACACTGATTTTGAAAGCGAGGCTCATGACATTAGGATCAGACTACGGGAAAGGGGTTACCCTAATAAAATACTAAAAAGAGCGTACCAGAGAGCTAAAGATGCACCAAGATTGAACATCAATAGCTCGAAACAAAAGAAAAAAGAAGAATCCCCTGGTCAGATTAATCTTAACATACAATAATCAACACAATCAAATATCAAAGATACTGGGGAAACACTGGCATTGCCTGACTAAGGATCCCAGAATCTCTAAATTTCTCTGCAGAAGACCCACCATCACCTACCGCCATTGCCCTGCTTTAAAAGACAAACTTACAAGCAGCGCGTTTGTCCACAATAGTGGCGCCTGCTGCAAATACAAGGGCACCTACCAGTGCCAGAGATGCAAGTTTTGTCGATTTGTCCAGACGGGAGTAGAAATAACCACCCCCGAGGTAAAAACTTCAAAGCTCGCCATTTTGCGAACTGCGAAACTAAGGGAGTTATCTACCTAATGTTATGCAAATGCGACATGTTTTATGTCGGCAAAACTAAACGCATGCTCAAAAACAGGATCTCGGATCACATTTCAGATATAACAGCTCGGGATCTGAGATCGCCTATAGTTAGGCACTTTGTAAGTACACACAATGGACAAATCGACAAACTGCGCTTCTTTGTACTGGATAGGGTTCATAAACATAGAAGGGGAGGTGATTGGGACAAATATCTCCTGCAGAGAGAATGTAGGTGGATTCACCAGACAGAAGCCTATGGAGGCACCTGGATTAAACGACAGTATCAATTTCAGTTGTTACCTCTGATACATTTACCTGTCAAACATAATGCTTTCCTTCTCTATAAAAATTGTATGAACTATACATCCATGTTGTTAGAACTCTAGTCAGACTGTATTGTGTGAGATGGGATAACAGGAATGTGGCCAAATAAACCTGAAATTTGATCTTCATACCTTTTATAGGTGTTTGTTTGGGATACACCTTCTTTGTGCTTATACCGTATACAACTGTTCTTTTTCCCTCTCTTTCAAACATGGATTAAATCTGAACAGTGTCTACACTGAGTTGAAATTGCAAGCTCGGGCCGGTACACCCATCCCCTTTCCCTGACAAACCTTTGTAAATGTATTGTTTAGAACGGCATATTGCCGCCTGCGATACATTTTTGCTCAGGACAATGTTATTTATCCTGTATTTTATAGTCTTAATCTAAGATACTCATTTGCAAGTTTGCAATTTTTGTCGATTTCTGGGATGGTGTGACCGGTCGGAGAGCCACCCTAAATGTCTTCACAGGTTATATGTCTGTACACCAAGCAATATACTAACGAACTTAGCTTGAATGGGCACTGTTCAGTGGGTTGATGGACATGTTCCTTGTGCATTTGCTGATCTGTGACTAGTCATGGTTATCGAATATAGATCTATCTTGTTACAAATGAACACACCGAGAATTGAAATGTACTGTTAGAAGTGAATATATGTAGTACCAACACCGAGTAATGGCTCTAATACCTAATTAAGAAAACCTGAACCTTATCAATGTCTCTACCAAAGAGCTATTTAAATCACCTGCATCTGTGAAATGTTACACGCCCCTCTGAGGAAGCCCCGTTCGCTGGGGGGAAAAGCGTCAGGGTTCAGCATGTGACTAGCTTCCCTGAGGACCCAGGACTTACTACTTGTATGTCATCGCAGTGATCGAGCAGGAGAGCCTCTGCTATACCGACTGTATTGAGCGAGGCCCGCTCAAGCAACACAGCGACAGCGGAGACCACCAATTTCTAATCCCTGATCAAGCACATCACTGGATACCTTGCCAGTGGAACATCGTTTACCCCCGTTCCAAGGTGCGGCCGCACTCGCAGGGGAATTGTCGAGCCACCTGTCCATAGTTGATGTGAAGTGAAACAGGTCGGGATCAAACTCACTGGAAGTTGGTGCAAGTGTTGGAAACATCTAAGCGATCAGCAGGATTACAAATGTTTTTTTGAACAAAAAACCTTTACAGTATTAAGAATATCACTGGAATATCTATCATAGAAGCACGGACTCTTTCCCTTGTGGCCACAAGTGAGGAACAAGTGAGTAATCCTATCATCATATGCTGATACATTAGTATCCACCGCCTCGTTACGGTGTATCCATTGATATCAATGACTGCTGCTCTGCCCTGCGGGTATTTCAACTTTATTTATTTCTGTCCCACATTGAGTGACTTTAGGGAAGCATTGCGATTTTAAATATGTTTTAAACGTAATGAGGTGATTTATCTTTATGTGTTGCAAGGTTTAAATAAATATGTTTGGATGCACTTTATATTATACTTGAATATCTATTCATTGGAGGGCTCCTACTATGGGATTTCTATGCTAGGGGGTTTGCGCTGTTTGAATATAATCATGCAAAATGGGATTGTTATTGTAAATGTGGTCAACAAATAGATATGCAGATAAAGCTTTCCTTAGTCTCCATAGAGCCAGAAGTGCAAGCATCTCTAATTGGAGTCATAATAATACATAATAATATAAGACTGCATAACAAATAACTATAAATACATTATTAAGTAGCTTCTAATCCTTTTACCCCTTCACTTTGAGTGAATAGTAAATATAAATAATAATTAGAAATGTTACTAAATGTCAAATTCCTGTGTTTTTTTTCAATTCTCCTCACAGCTCTGCAGTGAATATATCCAGCAAATGACTAAAAAAGGGACTCATTAAATGAAAACAGTTGTTTTACTTGCCATTCAAAACTGTCATCTGTTTAGAAAAGATTGTGAAAAGGACACTGTGCATATTCATACGCCCAAACTCATCGGTCCCGTCCAAAAAACTGGTTGCCGGTCGACAGAAGCACGCCACGACCGTCGCTAGTAATCCAATACATGTTAAGCTGCACTCAACAGCTAGGACCTCGATGTGAAAAAGTTTATTCCCAGAAATCTAAAACGCTACAAGCATAAATAGATCCACAGGCTCTGCCTGTAATGTTTTAAATTCCTGGAAATAAACCTTTTTACATCAAGGTCCTTGGCTGTTGAGTGCGGCTTGGCATGTGTAACCTGTGTAATACAGGTGACCAACAAGCTATTTTGCTGCCATCTAGTGTCTGAATAAATGTATCACATAATCTAATCAGAAAATTGCTCTGTCAATGAATTCAAAGTGCAGAAAATGCTGTTGAATAGAAAATAGTAAATATTCACCTCTGACCAATACTCTGCTGCAAACAAATCATTGTCTGAAGTCTCTTCAGAAACCAACACTTCCAATAGTGTCGATCTCCAGGGTCCCTCCTGCACTCATTGCTTCCTTACGTAGACCCCTATGTTACTAAAGGACTCAGCGATGATGTAGGGGTCAGAGGATGGAGCCACATTGCTTGGTGGGGGCCATAGACAACTGTGATAAAGCAGGATTTGGTACAGACTCACAATGGGCAAAGTTGGTCCCCTGGTGTTTTGTAAGGAATAGAGGGTTGCCTCGAGTTGGGAGTTGAGACCGTTTTGAGTTAGGGAACCACACTTTATAGAGGTGCCTTGATTAGGCAATGTGGCTTTACATGTATTTGTGAATGTATACAAGAAAAAGCTAAGTTTCTAACCAGAGTAATTGAAACAGTTTAGTTAGGTCTTTTGCGGGCTAGATGATAGGTGTGCTGGGGACCCCTTTGTAATATTGCCCTGCCAATGTGCACCTTCCACCTTTTTGCTAGTTTTAAACTGATCTGAACGATGGCAATCTTTGCTTTAGACAAAGGCATCTGACATTTTCAGAAGTGTTGAATGCTGAAATGTCTAACGGAGGCTGTAGCTCTAGGACAGAGTGAAGTTAGGCGACATGCCAGAGAGGTAAGTATAGTGCCTCTTCTATTTCAGGGAACTTTCAGCTAGAATCTTTTTTGGGACTGACAGGTCAGGGGGAACATCATTAGCCCTGTGCAAGCTTGGATATTACACAGCGCTTCTTGTTCTTACTGCTGCGGGTGAACAAAGCAGCGGGGAACAAAAGGAAGGAAAGCATATGGTCTTCAGGGGGAAAAGGAAAGTATTTTCAGAAGTACTACAATGTCTGCAAGATGTTAATACTAGCAAGTGTTACAATGTTTAGCATGCAAGAACTTAACATGCCAGGTCCAATTTGAAGCAAAACCACATTTTGTTCAATCATAGACAAGCATTTTTATTCACAAAAACGTGTTTTATATTTGGTAAATACAGTAAATATGCATATGGGGCAGCTATTTTTGCTCATCACATATATGCACTTCCTAATAGTATTGAGCAGTTACTAAATTTTGTTGCTCCCCTTTTTCTCAGCAAGTCTATGGCTCATGTGTGTCTAACCTGATTAAAAGAGAAAATGCTCTGTAAGGCTGGCTATACACAAGATGATTCTTAGGAATCTGCAAGGATCTGAGGACAATTCAACAAAATACTGAATTGGAAGACAGTGGTAGAAATTACTCTCTGCAAAGTATCAGCATAGTAATGTTTAAATGCTCATCGAACAATTTTCATCAACTTCATTTATTCTTCTGAAAAGGCATCTTATCCATGGGCAGCCTATTGGTGTCTTCAGACAAAAGATATTAATTACCTGATATGGTTGGCTGTGGCCAAATCAGGTAAACTCAAAACTAAAACCTTAGATTTCCAGGATACCTGCAATTTTGTTCACCCAAGATAAGCTGCCACCATGATCATCTATAAGTGTTTTCTTTCCTTTCTTTATAGACTTAAACATGCATGGTCAGCTGATATGAAGCCGCATGTCTATTGAAAGACCTTTCATATATCGGATGTGTGGAGGTAGCTATTTGCTATCTGCACTTGACTCACCTATCATTATTCAGGGAATGCTAGACTCTTATACAAGTACAAGTCATGTTGAAAATTACTTTCAGGTGAAGATTACAATAATATTATTAACTCGAAATTTGTACCCACCCAAATATGTTTTTTGCTGTAAAGAGAATTGTTACTGTTCTATGCCTTTGTAATGAAAAACAAGCATTGTTTTAGATGGACATCCAGGTAAATGATTGCAGTATCAATAAAACTGCTTAATTCTAGCTGAGAAACAAGCATCCCATGGTATGGACAGTTTTACTTACAAAAAAATAAACCCCCACATAAGATCTAACACAACTTACGTTTCAACAACAGTGATCTGTGCACGAAGGATTTTGTTTTAATTAACATTCCAGGTTTTTCTGTTGCTCTTCCTCCAATTCCACTAAATGTTTCTGAATAAAAACATTAATATTTTTATTATAAATCATGTTTTGTGGAATGTAACAACAACACACCTTTCATTACTGTGGCTGATCATCTCAAGCTTAAAAAGTCCTCTTTAATGCAAGTTCTCTCCAAGACAATTTTTGTTTGTGTCTTTAGATGTAAAAATATTAACTGTTGTATAAGCTTTGAAAACAATAATATCTGCTGTAAGTAAAATATGGTATGGAATATATTCGTCCAGAAAGGTGAAGTTCCCTTTAATACTGGCTATTAACTATGACGGTCATCACAACAGCATTCTTATTTAAAAACACAAGATTACTGTTATTTAGGTTGTTTATTCATTTACTTTTAGGGCCTGTTCACACCATCCAGTGTGTTCATCTTGCAGTTCTGTAACATAAACGCTTAATCAAACCCTCCCTGCATTCTAGTACTACTGCACTATTCTTTGCATTCACACTGCACTGGAACACAGGGCATTGCGCTACCATGTGTTCCAGTGCAAGCGATCGTACTGTGGGTGGGAGGTGTGTCTGCGGTGTCATTAAATGAATTGAAAGAATTAATCCCTAATGAAGAAACATGGCATTGCGCTACCACGTGTTCCAGTGCAAGCGATCGTACTGTGGGCAGGAGGTGTGTCTGCGGTGTCATTAAATGAATTGAAAGAATTAATCCCTAATGAAGAAACATGGCATTGCGCTACCACGTGTTCCAGTGCAAGCGATCGTACTGTGGGCGGGAGGTGTGTCTGCGGTGCCATTAAATGAATTGAAAGAATGAATCCCTAATGAAGAAACATACACATCTATAGTTGTAACACAAAACAAATTGTTCAAGTTGCTCATTGTAACAAGTTTGATCATTTTGGGATCTGCAATAGCAAAATGACAGCGAAGATCTTATTTGTTGCATTGGGCAACACGTTTCTGTACTCCAGTGCAAAGAAGACAACAGTGGATTATGAAGTGAGGGAGACTTAACAGGAAGCAAGCAGCCTAGGATCAGCCAAAGATGGCCAGCTGGTCCAGTGTAGTATGTTTAGCGGGGTGCAAGACAATAAAAAGACGTGTTCTAGAGATTATACGCTTTATAAAAGTAAAGAGAAAATCTGCTGTCAAGACTTTCTTATGACTTCCTGTCATAGTTTAGTATTACCTCACCTCTGAAGAGCGGGTGGGATTTACCTAACATCTAGTAAATGCTTGTATAGCTACCCACCATACTTACCTTTTTGAAGACGGCTTACAAGGGGCTCGGTGAATGAAGATTTCAGCGTTTCCATGAAGGAGCCATAATAATTTTCCAGATGATCAAAAGTAAAAGGGACTGGATGCCACTGTTCAGCTGGAGCCATAGAAGCTCTAATCTCATTCTCTGATGCGGCATAATCCTGTTTGAAAACACAAATACCATCTATTCCACTGAACCAATTCCAAAGGTACCAACATTTATGAGAACAGAATGAATTCCATACTAGATAAACAAACACCTTTGACACAGGCAATTCTATCACCCATTAAAAAGGAAAAAATAGCAGAACAATGGGACAAAGTTAAAGGTGTATTTACTGTCACCAAAATTTGAAGGTAAAATCACACAAAAATTAAGTATTTTAAACGATATAAAAAAAACCTCTTAACACTAAAAAGAAATGCAAACATTCTACAAATATATATGTAACAAAATAGTTTCCAATAATAGGGCCAATGAGGGCAATGTATCAAAACTGAAGCAGACTCCAGAATCTGGAGCAGTTGTCCATAGTAACCAATCAGCTTCTCTGTTCAGTTTGTTCAGTTAAACTTTGAAAATGAAAGCTAGAACCTGATTAGTTACTATGGGCAACTGCTTCAGAGTCTGTCCCAGTTTTTACAAATTCCTCCCAATGTATGTATAATAAAGTGCAAATAGTGCTTGCAGCAATCAGAGGCAGTGTTTGCTGTCTATAGCAACCTTCAATCAAACTGATAAAACAATCAAAGTGACGGTCCACAATTTCAATGTCCCCCTCTGTATATAATAAAGTGCAAATCATAGTACTAGCAATAAGATACCCAGAGGGGAATTTACGAAAACTGGAGCAAACAAAATCTGGAGCAGGCGCCCATGGCAACCAATCAGCATCCACCTTTCATTATCAAACCTTGACTGAACAAACTGAAGAGAGAAGCTGATTGGTTGCCCTGGGCAACTGCCCAGATTTTTCCCTTCAGTGTTTTAATAGGAAAATAATATTGTGCAATTATTGTTGTCCATAGCAACCATCAATTCAGTTCAATATCCATCACTTTGTGTCCTATCAAAACCATATTTGGACTCCAACACCACAAAACACTGATGCAAACCCGATGAAAAACCCTTATGTTAGGGTGGACTCACCAAACACAATTGACCTTAAAGCGGACCTTTACCCCCTTTGACTAAAAATCACATCAGTGTATCAGTACACATGATATTAAATCAACTTACATGTATTAGTTAAACAAACATATTTCCACTTTACTTACAATTGCTTTTTTTCTACTTCCTGGTCCACTTGGGCACAAATGATTTAATCTATGCCCAAGCATTGCATCCTGAGAAGGTTACATCAGCAGAGCATTGCTGGGAAATCTCATCTGTAATCTCATGAGATCTCAGGGAAAGGCATTTTCCTCCACTGAGATGATGTGCATGGTCACATGTCCTAGTCACATGTGCCAGAGGTCTAGGAAGTGAAAGGAGACCTAGTAACCTGTCAAATTCAAAACTTCATGCTCAGCTCCTAACTAGGCAACAGGCACTAATTGTAGTTATATATCCAGAATAAAATAAAATAAACACAAATAATGTGCCACTCTCACAAATAAACTGTGATTCTTATCTACAACACTAAGGTTATAAAAAGTGCGGTATATCATTAAAGTGCAACAAACCTATAGTGCTTGATAATGATAGTAGTCCACTTTAGATTCACAAATATACACAATTCAGTGCAATATATATAAAAAAGTCCACCTGTGATAAATACACCATGCAATAAAGGATAGATTGTGCACCCAAGTCTTATAAATAAAAAGTAGTTAAACAGTTCCTCCGTGTTCCTTGTGACTTCAGCCTTCCACTCCAAATAGAATAACTCTCACCTCTAGATGCAACTTTATATTATAAAGGTCTGAAAACCACCACTTCCCTTTTCCAATCACAGACGGGAAGACACCAAATGTTAGCAATGAAACTCCTCTTTTCACTCTGCGGCTTGAGTTGTATTCTCCAGTCATAACTTGCTACCAATCGATTTTAACGAATTTTAATAACAGGACTCTCCATAGTGTGCTCCATAAAACCACTTAAAATATAAATAAGATAAAAACGTACTCACAAACATAAATGATAAAAACCGCATCCAAATGAGATTAACTGGGTTATTCACAAATGGGTGAAGAGTTTGCAGAAGGCAGGAGAAGTGAACAATCTAGGCCAAAATAGCCGATCTGGAAAAATTCTCCCATTCAGCTCACTTTCCAGTCCAGCTATGTTGTCCTAGATTGTTCACTTCTACTGACCTCCAAATTCTTCACCCTTTTGTAAATAACTCTGTAAAATCTCCCAGTACATATTGCAGCCCTGACCGGCTCTCGGTTTGGTCCCAGGCTCCTCCCTACATACGTTACATCTAGGATACACATGAAGTTACGTGAAGGTATCCAATCCATCTTTTATTGCATGGTGTATTTATCACAAGTTTTTTTTATATACATATTGCACTGAATTGTGTATATTTGTGAATCTAAAGTGGATTACTATAATTTTTTAAGCACTATAGGTTTTTTGCACTTTAATGATTATATCTAGTAACCTGCCCTTAGTTAATCCCTTCCCAACCAATGACAGAATTATTCCGTCACAATCTTTTAGTTAAAGACTGGTGATGGAATCATACCGCCATGCGGGAAAATGAGTGTTGGTGCGTCGAGGGACCAGCACTCATGAGGTTCATGCTGTTCTTGGGTCCTCTGTGCCTGAGGCAGACCCTCAACAGCAAATTAGGGGGTCCCTGCACTGTGATCACTTCGATTGTCATTACTAAACATTTCTAAAGGTGTGTTTGTTGTTATTTTGAAGATATGGGTAAAGGTCCGCTTTAAACATACAAGGTCATTAAGCCCTTTTTCCAATCTGCAGGATGGAATATGCTCCAAGCACAACTTCCACTGCTCCAATACTTCCAAACAGATTCCAGATTGTAAAAACACTGACATTTTGATTGATGGTTACTACGGACAGCGACTGCACAATATTGTTTTTGGTAAAGCATTGGGCATCTTATTGCAATGATCACTATTTGCACTTATATTGTGAATATTATTGGAGTTTGATGTACATATATTTATTTTTAGTGCTAGATTTAGTGCTGTGTACAGTTGGAGTGTTTTTCCGTTCCATTAGAACATTTGTATTCACTTGCAATATGCCTTTGAACTTAGCAGCTTTGACTATTTCAGGAAGAGTCAATTTCATAGCACAGCCCCCTCCTTCCTTGCACATCAAAGCCTTCTCCTCTTATGGAAGTCTCCAATTACTCTCTGGCCCGGCTCCTCTACCCCTCGCTGCATCTCCCTACATAACCTTCTATGTACTAGATTGTGGAGGATTGAAAGGAAATACTATAGTGCCACTATATTATATATTTGTACATTTCCACACTTGCTGCCAAATTTGAGAAAACACCCAATATTTGTTTGTTATGTGTTCCCAATCGCACAGAATTCCTAAAAGAATTGTTTAAAAAATATTTCTTACTTTTTAGATTTGTGTAGCAGGCCTTTGCAAGCTTCTCTCTCAATTTCCAAGTAACAGGAAACTGACTGTCCTAATAGAAGCACTAGGGACAAAATGAGCTTCTCATTAACACACAATGCTTCTAGATCTGATAATAAGATCTGGCAGCAGAGTAGAGACAAGGTTAATTATGTTAACATTAACTTACACAGCACCCCTTGCATTCCAGAGCACAATTACAGAGAACAACGTTTGTGTTGGAATAGAACATGTATTGTGCAAGCAGCAATTAAAAAAAATAGTTAGGGTTACGCAAAGGGAATGAAGACAAGTAACAAATATAAAGTAAATGTTATCCTAATCTGGCTTCAAAAGTGGAAATACACTTTGAATGACAGCTGGGGTTGCTTGCATCACATCCAAAATGGCAGTGCCCAGCAGCAGTCTTAGGCCTTCGGATGTCTACACAAAGGAGACTTATACAGGTAAATAATATGAATTAAATACATTGAATGCATAATCCTATAGGAAGATTGTAGTTGAAATTAGAGGAGCACCGAAATAAAATTTTGATACCGATTTTTTTTAACCTTTTTAATTTGTTTAAAAAAATATATTTTTATTTATTTTTTATATTTTATTTTCATTTATTTATTTTTTAATAGATATTTTTCTTTCTGAACTTTACTGTTGGGGGCTCTGGGGACATATTAGGGGTCTAAACAGACCCCTGATATTTCCTTTTTAAAATAGAAAAAGAGATTTTCGACACAGAGTCATCAATCTCTTTTTCTGCAGCCTCTGTTATAAATGAAGAGGAAGCTTCTATACTGAGTGTTCCTGTACATTCATAACTTGTGGAGATTGTATGTTTACTGAGCACTTCCTGTTCATTCATAATTGGGGACGCAGTAAACATACAATGTCCTCAATTATTTACAAGCAGTCAGCGATCAGCTGATCACTGACTGCTTGTACCCACTCTCCAACCTGACTCGCTATCACAGGAGGCTGAATGGGCATTCCGGGGAGGATAGCTAGGTCTGGTTTGACAGATGAATCCTCCCCTGCACAGCTGGCTTGGCATCCTGTGACAGCTGACAGCTTTCTCTGCTGGGGAGGAGAGCTTAGCCTCCTGTGACATTGCGGCACACAGCGTTCTCCTCCCCAACCCGCTTAGCTGCCTAAACATTTCTCTCCTCCCAGCGGGGACACAGAGCAACGCACAGAGGGCTGGAGAGAAACTAGAAATGCACTGCAATTTCGGCCGAAAGATGGCACTTTCTGCATTTTGCCAGAAGTGCTATTTTCCGCCAATAATTTCGGTGCATCCCTAGTTGAAATGAATGACCTGGCAGCCGGGTCCCTTTATCTAATTATACATGAATTAAACATTTCCTTTTGTGTGCAACAAATATGTGACAAAATGAAACGCCTTGAGACCCCGAAAGCGCTTGCAGTGAATGGCAATGTGTCATTAACAGCTTGAAGACCAGGTGTTTAGACCCCCTTCCTGGCCAGGCCATTTTTCAGTATTCAGCGCTGCGGTACTTTGACTAACATTTATTCCGTCATGCAACGCTGTACTGAAATGAATTTTATACCATTTTTTGGGGACAGATAGAGCTTTCTTTTGGTGGTATTTAATCACCACTGCGGGTTTTATTTTTTACTATAATAAGGAGAAATTACTGAAAATTTGGGGGAAAAAACATTTTTTTTTACATTATGTTATAAAACAACTAACATTACCCACTTTTTTGGTAAAATATAAAAGACGGGGTCACGTCGGGTAAATAGACACCAAACATGTCAAGCTTAAAAATTGCACGCACTCGCGAAATCGCAAAAAACTAGCATACCCAAATTTGGCCATGGGCGACGCTTTAAAAGCTTTTACAGCTTATCAGTTTAGTGTTAACAGTGATTGATGGCCCTAGAATTATTGCTCTCATTCCGACGTTTGCGGCGAAATGTAACATGTGCGGCGTAATGGGTGCAATCGTCGTTTTCGCAGGTATGCGCACCTGACGCATGTTTACATGCGTGAATGTAGGGTTGGGGACTTTAAAAAAAAAACAAATTTTAATTCTTTTTTATGTGTAACTTAAAAACATTTTTGTGGGAAACTCCGCATTCTGACAGCGTAGAGGGGACCGGAGGGAGATCGTGAACCGACCTCCCTCTGATCTCCTGTGACAGAGGCAGTATGCTGGTCCCGGGCTCGCACTGGAGCCGGGATCAGCTTGACAGCGGGAGGGGGGGAGCCGCGGAGGGGGAGGGGGCGCACGTCATGGGACCTCATACAAGCGATCCGCCGGCTCTATAGCCGGCGGATCGCTTGTATATTAACGGGCATCGCTACCTGTTTTCAAATAACAGGCATTTCCCGCTCGCACGAGCGGGCGGATGTTACAGGATGTGTATACACGCCCAGTTACATCCAAGAAGCTCACGGCCGGCAGTGTATACACAACGGCCGGCCGGGAGGTAGTTAAACGGACTATTGCTAAAATTACTATTTGGAGTGCTGGTGAGGTTACTTCTTTATTTGAGTTATTCACGGTTCCACCCGTGGTCACTACAAGCACCCACCCGTTTACCCGGGTCTGTGGATGGTCTGGTAAGGAGTGCAGCAAGACCTCTGGTTCTTAAAATTAAACGCCTGTCCTGTCCTTAAAGCAATAATAAAGCCCCTCAATGATTGAAACACATTTGTGATATGTCATCACGCCATATGGTGTGGCCATGTGGGCAATGAATATATGGCTCTTAAAAGTAATATATGAGCTGTGTCAGCAAACTAATAAAAAGCTGAGATTTAATGCAGACTGGGGAAGACAAGCACAAGGGATGCATTTTAAATATTCGTGTTGTGTTTTGAATATGAATTTACTTGAACTGAAAAACCCACAGCTAATGAAGGAAATATTCCACTGATTATGTAAGAGTGTACTGAGCAATTTCTCATTTCTATTTGGATTGTTTTGGAGATCTGCTATTAGGAGGAGATGTGCCACACTAATTAGTGTTTACAAAAATGATTGCAATGTATTCTATGTTTTATTTCTGTTTAGTTCACAGAGTACATGTTGTATATATGCAGGACCAAGATAATCCAAAGTAGGATGTTTTCTGAGTTAAAGGGTCCATCAGAAGAGAAATTATAGGCAGATGTCCACTGGCGGGTAATTAACTAATTCTCTAGTTATGCTCCATGGGGTCTTAGAAACGAAATCTGCACTTTTCTGTGTGGTAGTATCTGAATAAGGCTTTCCCATAAATCAAATATTTTTTGCAGGTAAAATTATTTTAATTAATACGATACATGTCTGCTCAGGTTTTCATAAATCAGCCATTCTGCAGCATTTTATAGTTCTGGTGAATGAAAGATAAAACCTGATTGGCTTTAATGGGCCATGGTTTGACATTAGCTATAATTTTACAGCAGACAGCCATTCACTTTCACACTTTTTAAATACTAAAATTTTTAATGGAGTAGGGAAGGCTACTTTTGTCCATTTTTACCTGCTGTCAGTCTCCTTATTGGAGATTTCCTCTCCTTTCTCAACAGAAATTAGATGGCAGCTACCTGAGCGCTCATAACTGTTGCATAATATCTATCCAGGCACATCATCTTTCTCCTAACCAGGCTCTTCCTGAACCATGGGGGTACCAACAACAACAACAAGCATTCCTGAATTTAACTGTAAAAAGCTTTTTTGAGAAAATATTTTTTGATGTTCGTAGACCGCGTCCCTGAAAAACATCGTCACCGATGTTTTAGCAAACAGGACATCCCCGGGATCCCTTTAGATGGGCTTGTTCCATGCCCGTCTCTGAATGATTTGAAGCCCGGGGCACGTGCCCCCCTCGGTATGCCACAGAAGAATGTGTACAGCTGTCACTACTGTGTGCCGGCTCCACTGATCGAGAGCGGCGATCACTCTTCTCAGCTCTCTCTTCTCAATGAGAAGAGTGATCGCCGCTGCAGCGGCCGTTTTCAAAGGACACCGGCTCAGTCCCCCTGCTGGTGTCCCTCCCTACAGACTAGAAGAGGTTGGGGACCGGACCTCAGTGGGCCCCTCAACTGCCTTGGGCACCGGGCCCCCACACCGGCTACACCGCCGGTAGTTCCGCCCCTGGTTCGTAGGCACCTTTACTGTTGTATGTGCTGTCTTTACGGTCTGTACTTATTTCAAAAATAAGACTTTATAATATAATATTGATGGACACTGTCTCTGAGAAATAATCAAATGCACCTTACCTGGATGAGTTGTATGGTATCTGGCTGTAGATGTATACCTCTAACTTTGGTTGATATTTTGTCGATGGCCTTTATTTGATTTTGACAATGTTCCATTTGACTTTCATAGGCCCACAGGACCATTTTAGTTTTGTCATCTATATATTTCTTTGCTAATGTTTCTTCTTCGTCAAGCAGCAGGCGCAGTTCTGTAAAGTTTGCCGTCATAGAGTCTTTGCTTGCCAAAGTGTGGTCCTAGAGAAACAGATAGAAGTACCAGGGAATAGTGAGGGATTAAGACAAAACACAATGCAATATAGTCACAGCAGACATTACAACCTTTCTATCCGTTACAGCAAGGTGCTGTGCTCTGTACTGATAGATAAGTAACTAAGGATTTCAATATTCCAGTCTTTTATGAACAACACTCAAACTTTGGGGGCTGGTCACAAATTGTTGGTTTTATAAGGGGATACAAAAAAATACTTAATTTAAGCCTTTCAAATATATACATTTTACAGTGCACATGTCATAACATACAGGGTCTTGTGCAAATCATACAATATAAGGTCCAGCAAGGCAACCATATGCAATAATAAAATCACACTTTAAATAAAGCAGCATCATAGTCAATTGAACAAAAAAGGTAAGGGCACGGGCCCACCAGGAAACTTCAAAGTGTTGAGCACCGCCTTTGAAGCATGAGAATGCACTGCTTTTGCGACCTCACGTTGAGGAGTTTGATGATGTGAAAGTGCACCAAAAAGAGGTGAAGTAGCCACAGAGTAAAATGACAAGAACTAAGACTGAAATATAACAGTATAGAACACACGTCAAAAAGGAAACATGCAAGGTGAAATAAGCAGAAAAAAAGGAGGATGGGGTGAAGAATGCAAGGGAAGAAAGAGAACAGGGGACCCAGGGAGGGAACAAATGTATTCATTTGATAAGTATTTAGTTTAGTATTTTGCTGCTGAGGTATGAGAAATCCCAACTAATACCATACAGTTTTCAAACGATAGAAAAGTGGCTAAGCTACCAAAATGTAACTTGTATTTCTTATATAAACTGAACTATAATACTGTAAGGCATACAAACATTTTGAATCATTGGTATTTTTAACTGCAGCCTTGGATCTGTCCCTGCTTATATATTCAGATCACTCCCATGTGACTTCTCTGTTTGGCAACACAAGATGCTTTTAAAGTGTATGTAAACCCTAAGAAATTAACTTTCCTTTTTTGGTCTGTTAAAAATATCATTGAAAGCATTTTGTAATACCTGTTTAATAAGTGCAAAGCATACCTACTGATCTTGTTACACATTCACAGCTGTCCTGTGTCCACACTTCCTGTGATCTCTCAATGGGCCTAATTTGCCCTCCCAAGTCTAAACTGGTGCCTACATATCAATTAATGCTGTGAGATGAGAACAAAGTTTGTGATTTGGTAGTTTAGCAAAAGACAATTGGGCAGCGTGGACACCATTCAGCCCAGAAATAATCTGTGTTTTGTCAGCCCAGAACATTAATTAGTAACTGATAAATTGATACATATTTTTCTGTTGTTACAGGGTCCTTAACCACCTGCTGTCCGGCCGTTGTAATTAAACAGCCGGACATCGGCTTCTTGAATGCGGGTGGGCGTTTTTAAACATCCTATCCCTTCACTCTCGTGCCCGCCGCCGCTGAAATCAGCCTGGACTGTAAACAGCCAGCGATGCAAACATGCGCCTACGTGCGTAAACGACGATTGCATCCATTACGCCGCACATGTTACATATCGCCGCAAACGTCGGAGTGAGAGCAATAATTCTAGAGCCATTAATCACTGATGACACTAAACTGATGAGCGGTAAAAGCTTTTAAAGCGTCGCCTAAGGCCAATTTTGGGTATGGTAGTTTTTGCGAGTTCGCGGGCGCACGCAATTTTAAAGCTTGACATGTTTGGTGTCTATTTACCCGACGTGACCCCGTCTTTTAAATTTTGCCAAAAATTGGGGTAATAATTGTTTTATAACATAACGTAGGGAAAACAGTTTTTCTTCCCCAAATTTTCGGTACTTTTTTCATTATATAGTAAAAAATACAATCTGCAGTGGTGATTAAATACCACCAAAAGAAAGCTCTATCTGTCCCCAAAGAATGGCATAAAGTTAATTTCAGTACAGCGTTGCATGGTGGAATAAATGTCAGTCAAAATACCGCATCGCTGAATACTGAAAAACACCCCGGTCAGCAAGTGGTTAAAAGGACAAAACATGGTAAAATGTACTGCATTTGTTTAGTTTTTTTTAATTTTGCCTGGACATACACTTTAAGCTGTTAAGAGCACTCCCAGACCTGGATATATTGATTAAAAAAAAAGTATTCTGTGACAAATTATACTCATCCGCAATAACACATAAGGCCTTTAATAAACCACCAGCTGTAAAAGATCTCAAGAGACATGCTCAAGGTACTCAGCCACCAGAAGAAATACAGACAAAAACAGGTGCTTCATTTGGGGCTAGGGAACAGCAAAGTCATATTCCTGTTGAAACGTCAATCACTGTACTTCAAATGTATTTTCAGAGGTTTAAAGGGGATTGTAAAACAATACAGCTAGAATAGAAAAAAAACCACATCTGTTTTATGTAATCTGCAAGTACCTATAATTATCAAATACACCAAATGCAAGCTTGGTAGTGTGCACTCAGACACTGGTTGTAGTTCACCCCCCAAAACCACTATACTTACCTAGAGCTCACACCAAGGCCCCCAGGCATTGTTTCCTCAGCTGGCTTTTTGACAGATAGGAGGGGATGGTAGACAGATAGGAGCCCGACTGTGCATGTGTAGAAATCGGATTATGAAGCCAGCTGAGTACTGTAAACAATACCGCAGGCCTTGGAGGGAGATCTACGAAGGCCTAGGAGTAAGCAATTGGGTACGGGGGCCTTGGTAATAATATATACCTGTACAGAAGGAGCAATAAAAAGCAAGAACAAAAAAAAGGAATAGGGTTAGTGATGGTAAGCAGAGACACAGAAGATCACTGAAGAAGAGCCAGTTTAAGCCAACTGTGTGTGGGAACAGTGAAGCAGAGTATAGACACAGAAGTTGAGTGGTATCAATGAAAGAGAGCAGAGACACAGGATCGGAGTGGGATCAGTGAAGCAGAGACATAGTAGCTTAGAGAGATCAGCGAAAGAGAGCACAGACACAGGAGTTGAGTGAAATAAGTGAAGGAAAGTAAAGACACAGGAGTTAAGTGAGATCAATGAGGGAGAGCACAGATGCAGGAGCTGAGTGGAATCAGTGATAGAAAGCAAAGCCACAGGATTTGAGTGGAGGGTAATGATCTGCTGTCCGGCTTCCTGATTGGCCAGGAAGCCGGCTCCATGCTCCCGGAAGTTCCAGTACCGCTATTCAGTATTGGCGAGTACCGAAAGATAAATATCGGTACTCAATACTGAGAAAAAATTATCGGTGCATCCCTATTTTGGAGGATAACAAATGTATTAAAACAGCGAAATGAAGTATGAGAATAAGTAGGCAATTTGGTTTACTTTACGTTACACATTTCTTCCCCTATATATTCCTTATACACTGAGTGGCCAGATTATTATGACCACCGGACGTTTGTAGGCAAATTAGCTATAATTAGCTATAATTTTGCGCTGAAGTTGCTAGAGGGCCAGACCATTATAAATAGGGAAGCAGGTTGTTTAACACGACAGTAGAAGCGATTTTCTTCTGAAGATACGGGTAAACAACGTGATTTAACAGCCTTTGAACGTGGGATGATTGTTGGCGCTCGAAGCCATGGAGCGAGTATCAGCAAAACAGCAGAATTCGTTAAATGTTCAAGAGCAGTTGTTGTTTAAGTGTTTAAAGACTGGACTGTCAGCCGAAAATCTGGGTCTGAACGTGCAAATTGTGGCCGTCAGTGACTAGTCAATGTTAGGGCAGTACGGTACAAGACAACAGAAGGGCAACAGTGCAGTGTCAGATTCCTCGCATCACCTTTCAACATCTCGTGGAGTCACGAGGCGGCCCAACAAAGTCATCTCGTGGCCCAATGGTCTGTAACCTGTTATGGTCCTGTACTTAAATTGTCGTAGATGAGCCAGTTGGCAGAAACAGTCAAACAGTATTTTGTTTTGTGAAGGAGAAGTGCATTCCCTGTACTGAAGAAGAGAGCCAAGGGGTGTGTGCAAGACAACCACAGCAGGTGGAAGGGGCATGGGTGTTCTGTACTTCGATAGAAACAGGAAGGAAATATATCTCTGCTTTACTATAGTATACCAATATGTTAACAGTAAAACCTGGGCTAGTGCTGCCCATCCAGTGCTGATTCATTATTACATTGTTACTCAGTAATTTAATATCACATAATGACATCCAAGAGTGGCATTTGCACATTATCACTAATTACTGCCAGGGCTCAGTAATTCAGTCTATTCTAGAGAACAACCATTAGCGTATTATAGGAAACTCAAAACAAGAAAAAACAACTTTGATTGCCTGCATCATCAAGAAGATGAGGTATGGTCAAGGCCCACAATCTGGTTTCTCATCTAAAATACAAATACAGAGCTGTATAGTGCAGTATAGATACACTTTATTCATTTTATCCATACTAATTAAAAAATTAAGAAAGGCATTAAATTGTTTTTTGCCACGTTAGTGCAGATCTGGTCTTTTGTGGAAGACAGGAAGATGCAGAAAGGTGATACTATAAGGTAAATGCTTGGGGCCCATCCTCAATTCACAAAGCATCTGGTAAGGCCATTAATTGTCTCCCCTTCTGACATCTTGTTTTCATGTACAGCAAGGTGACAAATATTTTTCTAGCCCTGACATTTTTTCCCCCTTTATAATAACAATATTACAACTATTGCACATAGACTGCAATCTAACGTGCCAGAAATACTAATATTACATAGACGGAGGTCAGTGTATACAGTATACGTTACAATACACTTTTGTGTGTGTATGCAGTGTAAAATATTTTTTGTGTTTTGTTGCATTTGTTTGGTTTTATAGAATGTCACAAAGTTCTTGTCTGGATTCTGGTAACAAAAAAACTTTGCACTTATATACAGTACCTCTAATATGCATGAGTAAAGGTTAAGATGTGCGTGAAGGATATCCTGCAACCACTTGCTGACCGGGGTGTTAAACCCCCTTCCTGTCCAGGCCATTTTTCAGTATTCAGCGACGCGGTACTTTGACATTTATGCCGTCGTGTAACGCTGTACTGAAATTAATTTTATACCATTTTTTGGGGACACATAGAGCTTTCTTTTGGTGGTATTTAATCAATTGTATAACAAAAAAGGTACAGAAACTTTTGTAAAAACTGTTTTCCGTACGTTATGTTAGGAAACATTTTATTATTACCCCAATTTTTTTGAGAAATATAAAAGACGGGGTCACGTCGGGTAAACAGACACCAAACAAGTCAAGCCTTAAAATTGCGCGCGCCCGCGTGATTGCAAAAAATATTACCACACCCAAAATTGGCCATAGGCGACGCTTTAAAAGCTTTTACTGCTCATCACTTTAGTGTTGATAGTGATTGATGGCCCTACAATTATTGCTCACACTCCAATGTTCGCGATGATATGTACTGTGTGCGGCACAATGGGCGCAATCAGCATTTTCGCACGTAGGCGCACCCGACGCATGCTTGCGTGTGTATGTGGGGGTAGGGGACTTTTCACCTGGTCATGTGTATTTTTTTATGCTTCTTTAATTTTTTTTAAACTTTTTTTTTTACACTTAATTTTATTGCTATCACATAGGGGACTAAGAATCACCCTATGTGATAGCCAATTTGCGTGACAAGTCCTTTTTATGGAAACATCAGGGGTCTCTAAGACCTCTAATGTCAACTAGGAACCCCCAAAGAGGCTGATGAAGCAGAGACCGGCTTCACCAGCTTCTCCCCGACTTCTGTAGCTGGGAATGAGAGCTGAATGTTGAAGTGATGTAATATACCGTATATACTCGAGTATAAGCCGTCCCGAATATAAGCCGAGGGTCGGAAATGAGGCAGCTAATGGTAGATAGATACCAATAAAATTACATTAATATTTATTTAAAAGAAAAATAACCTAGCTCTGTAAGTGGAAAAGGGGGTACAGGGCTACATATCATGTACTACGGATCATTTAACCCATTCATATTAGCAGAGGATAATTGTAAATCTATTGTTCAGTGCACTCTATATGTAGTATATAGTACATGTACATATAGAGTGCCTGCAACAATACATTTACAATGATCCTCTGCTAACATGAATGGGTTAAATGATCCGTAGTACATGATATGTAGCCCTGTACCCCCTTTTCCACTTACAGAGCTAGGTTATTTTTCTTTTAAATAAATATTAATGTAATTTTATTGGTATCTATCTACCATTAGCTGCCTCATTTCCGACCCTCGGCTTATATTCGGGTCAATACTTTTTCCCAGTTTTTTTGGGTAAAATTAGATACCTCGGCTTATATTCGGGTCAATACTTTTTCCCAGTTTTTTTGGGTAAAATTAGATACCTCGGCTTATATTCGGGTCAATACTTTTTCCCAGTTTTTTTGGGTAAAATTAGATACCTCGGCTTATATTCGGGTCAATACTTTTTCCCAGTTTTTTTGGGTAAAATTAGATACCTCGGCTTATATTCGGGTCAATACTTTTTCCCAGTTTTTTTGGGTAAAATTAGATACCTCGGCTTATATTCGGGTCAATACTTTTTCCCAGTTTTTTTGGGTAAAATTAGATACCTCGGCTTATATTCGGGTCAATACTTTTTCCCAGTTTTTTTGGGTAAAATTAGATACCTCGGCTTATATTCGGGACGGCTTATACTCGAGTATATACGGTACATCACTTCCTGCATTCACAGAACGGAGAAGAGATCGGAGGGAGATTGTGTACTGATCTCCAGTGACCGAGCCGCTGCAGCGGCGGTGGCGCAAACCCACACAAAATACATGTGATTGGGCATCTCTACAGACGCCAGAATGATCGTATTTAGGCCTGGTTCACACTGAGCGCTTTTTCTGCCCTAAAATATGCTTAAAATATATGCCCCCCCAAATAATCCTATTCATTTCTATGGCCCTTTTCACATCAGTGCATGAGCATTTTTTGGCATATTACAGCTCGTTTTGGCCCCATAGACTCAATAGGAAGCGCTTAAAAACGTCTTATTTCGCATTTCATGCGCGTTTGCTCATTAACATTAATGAGCTACAATCTGCTTACAAAAACGCGTAATTTCATTTATGAACATAAAACGCACATAAAAAACGTGCGTAGAAAAGCATAAAAACGCTATGGCCTAGGTGTGAACCCAGCCTTAAACAGCCATTGCTGGCTGTTTACATTTTAAGCAGTTTTCCCACTCGTGAGTGCACTGGGCGGCGCGCATGAGTGGAGGTGGGGAAGGACGTTTTACAACGCCCACCTGCATCTAGAAGGCTCCCGTCCGGCTGTTAATGAACAGCCGCTGGATGGGAAGCAGTTAATAAGTGCAAAGGTTAAGAAGTTCGTGAAGGATATCCTTTAACTACCTCCCGGCCAGCCGTTGTGTATACACGGCCGGCCGGGAGCTTCCTGGATGTAACTGGGCGCGCGAGCGGGAAACCCCCGCTATTTGAAAACAGGCAGCGATGCCCGTGAATATACAAGCGCTTGTATGACGTCCCGTAACGTGCGCCCCCTCCGCGGCTCCCATCCTCTCCCCCCCCCTCCTCTTGCTGTCAAGCTGGTCCCAGGCTCCGGTGTGAGCCCGGGACCAGCATACTGTCTCTGTCACAGGGGATCAGAGGGAGCTCGGTACACGAACTCACCTCCGGTCCCCTCTCCGCTGTCAGAATGCGGAAGTTGTGTATATTACATCACTTCCGCATTCTCGTGTCACTCTCCAGCTTCAGATGCTGGAGAGAAGCTGATGAAGCAGATCTGTGCTTCATCAGCTTCTTCAGGGGGGTCCTAGGTGACATTAGGGGTCTTGGAGACCCCTGATGTCTCCATAAAGAGGACCTGTCACCTCTTTTGCTATCACATATAAGGGTTTCTTAGCCCCCTCTGTGATAGCAATAAAGTTAAGTGGAAAAAAAAATAGTAAAAAAATTTTAAGTTTCCCCCCAAATTTTTTTAAAGTTACAGATAAAAAAGAATAAAAAAAAACAATTTTTTTTAAAAAGTCCCCACCCCTACATACACGCATGTAAACATGCGTCAGGTGCGCATACCTGCGAAAATGATGATTGCGCCCATTACGCCGCACATGTTACATATCGCCGCGAACGTCGCAGTGAGAGCAATAGTTCTAGGGCCATCAATCACTGATAACACTAAACTGATGAGCGCTAAAAGCTTTTAAAGCGTCGCCTATGGCCAATTTTGGGTATGCTAGTTTTTTTGCGATTTTGCGAGTGCGCGCAATTTTTAAGCTTGACATGTTTGGTGTCTATTTACTCGACGTGACCCCAACTTTTATATTTTACCAAAAAAGTTGGTAATATTAGTTGTTTTATAACATAATGTAGAAAAAAACTTTTTTTATTCAACATTTTCAGTAATTTCTCCTGAATATAGTAAAAAATAAAACCCGCAGTGGTGATTAAATACCACCAAAAGAAAGCTCTATCTGTCCCCAAAAAATGGTATAAAATTAATTTCAGTACAGCGTTGCATGACGGAATAAATGTCAGTCAAAGTACTGCAGCGCTGTACACTGAAAAATGGCCTGGCCAGGAAGGGGGTCTAAACACCTGGTCTTCAAGCGGTTAATAAGTGCAAATTTTGCTGATTTTGGTTGGAAGCACTGCAATATAACCAACCAAACAATAGCAAACACATGGGCTACATACCACATGTGTGTATTGAAGTAAACACTGTGATATTTTCTTGTTCTTAACACATGCCTCATACCTTGAGTTCAGTGCCAGCTTGCTCAATATTCTGTATGTTGCCAAGTACATGGATTCTCTTTTGATCAAGCTGCTCCAGGCATCTGTTCATCAGATTCTACAAGAAAAAGGAAAGTTTATTACTATGGCACACTGTTTTCATCAAGGCTGTATGGCTCACTTTTTTCAGTAGCAGAAGGACTGCAACACACTCCAACTAAATGTGCTTGTTCAGCTGTTACAAGTGCAAGGTGCATGATAATTAAAAAAAGGAAACACTTCATTGTAATATGTGCACATACCTGACCAGCGATGGATTATAAATAGGATGAGATTTCATCAGTCATCACTACAGCTTGCAGTCACACAACCTCAACCTAAGGCACCTAAAGTAAAGCACCTAAAGCTTTGTTATGACCACCTTACACTTAATATTTTATGCGATGACTGTGTTTCTACTGATGATGGGGGCAAATGTGCAACTGATAACTGTAGGGGGAAAGCCAGCAAGTAAAAAGTGTATACTTCCGATCCACAAATTTGTTCTGTATCACTGATTTAAAGTATAGAAGCCCAAGGATTCAATGCAGACATATTAATTCATGACAGACAGGCAACCAGCGTACCTGGTCAGCAATGGCAGTCCAATATTTCTATCATGCCAGATTTCCTTTAAAAAAAGTCAATCCTGCTATGCTATTTTATCAGCTTGATGTAGAATCTGTGTGCTTTGAAAACGTGCTGTGATGTCCACTACTGTCATGTCTTAAAGGTATTATTCTTATCTCCTTTTATTTCACCCACAAAGGTGCTACTTTTTGATCCACTGCGCTATAACATGCTTCAGATGCAAAGGTGGTGTGCAGTCAGAATGGAGAATTCTCAGTGATGACTATCTATAGCATCAGTCAAAAAAATCTTCCTGTGTGCTCAATTTTTTTACTTTCAAAAGACTGGGGCCATAAGAATTTTAAAAGTTAAGGACAGTTAGCTGAGCCTAGTGGGAGATCTCTCTTTGAAGTCTCCATAAGAATACGTGATAGTCAAGTGAGCAACCCTGTGCAATAAAAATTTTAGACATTGGGGTATAACGGAGACATCAGTTCTGTTTGCATGTCCCTTATTTGCATCTTAGCAGACCAGAAAACACAACTACAAAAACAGTCAGAACTTCAAGGGGAAAAAAAAGGATACAATTCTTTTGCAGAGAAATATAAAATGTCTCCTTTCAGATGAATGTTTACTGTTGTTAGTCTAAAACTAGCCATACACTGATCGAATTTTCCAACAATGGGCAATGCTCAAAAAATCGAGCAGTGTGTAGTCTCATTTGCAACCCTCTGTTTGGCAAAAGACAGTTTATTAATCAATTTTTGTCGAAGGAGCTGGTCCCTAATATCACCTAGGGACCCACAAAGAAGCTGATGAAGCAAAGATCTGCTTCACTAGCTTCTTCTGCGGCTACAGCAGCTTGAGAAAGAACAGGCTGAAAGCGGAAGAGATGTAATACACATCACTTCCGCATTCAGTGATCAGAGGGGAGATCAGCCAGTGGATATGTGCTGAACACCCTCTGATCCAGGCAACGAGACCCGCAGTGCTGGTCCCGGGCCCACACGGGGGGACAGCGGAGCCTGGGATAGCTGGCAGCAGCAGTGGAGGGTGGTGGGCCTGCACACTCCCATGCACTATACAAGCGGCTTGTATGTAACAGCGGTTACCGGCTGTTTCACATTTTTATCATGTATTGCTCGTGTAGTAGGGAATGTGTGCAAGAAGAAAAAAAACCCCGCCATACATGTATAACAACCCACTGAGTAGAGAGTGCTGTCCGTTCGTCTATATAGAATGGGCGGACGGCAAGTAGTTAATAACTACATTGAAGTTTCAAGGGGGAAAAAATCCCTTTTTGTGGAAAGACAAAACACTTAGGACCCAGGTCAACTTTTTGGGGAATTTATTCTTCAAATTCTGTCAAAGTTATCACATTAGTATGGCATAATGTGCTTTGGTGAAGGTTTGCCCCTTAACATGGCATTCTACCACTACCCTGTTCCTTATCCCATAAAAACTACTGCCGCCACCTTTCCAGAAGTGAAAGCCTTTCCCTTCGATGGAGGGGGTCAGCATGCTTTCACTCTTTTGACTGTTGTTTTGACTGAAAATTAATCGTGTACACACTAGAGTGAATTTTTCAAAACTGGAGCAGACAAAATCTGGAGCAGATTTGCACTGCAACCAATCAGCTTCTATCTCTCATGTTCAAATCTTACCTGAGCAAGCTGAAGAGAGATGCTGATTGGTTGCCATGGGCAACTGTTCCAGATTCTGTCTGCTCCAGGTTTGATAAATTCCCCCTATTGCATCTGACATAACAAAATCATTGCAGGCATTTGTTTCTACATTTGTTTCAAAAATTACAAGTTTGTTCCATGACATATTCCCTTTGATCTTTTTGTTGTCAGGTGTCAAGAGCCTTGGGATCCACTAAGCCAGTGGTTCTCAACCCTTCTAGGGCCGGGACCCCTTGGTAACATTTGCCAAATTGTGGTGACCCCCAACGGAGCGCTGGACTCCAGAATGGGACTAAAAATAGAAGTACACTCACAAGAATACAAGCCCCTGCTACCTGCTTGCCTGCTCTGTCTCCATGCAGCCTTCTCAGCCCCAGCAGTGCTTAGACGCCCGCCTCCTGCAGAGCTCACATTGTATGGGAGGCAGTAGGACAGCAGCAGCTGTGAATAGAAAAGCCCTGCTGTACACACTCCCCGGCCACTAGATGTCGCTGCAGCGGCCAGGGAGTGTGTATAGCGGCACTTTTATATTCACAGCCTCTGCTGTCCTCCCGCTGACTGACACTGCTGCGCTAGGAGGAGGCTGAGGAGCCTCTCACCTAGTGCAGCAGAAGTGGATGCTGCGACCCCCTCAACAGTGAGTTGCGACCCACTTTTGGGTCGCGACCCACAGGTTGAGAACTGCTGCACTAAGCAGTACCCTTTCTTATATCCATATGTTCTTTCAGAATACTAAATGTTTTTTCTACGGTCAATTACTTACTAATTGTTTTGATCTTTGTTTTACAGTACTGATTTGTACAACTTGTCCTCATTCTCTTAAGTATTGGCCTCGAATGGTGTGCCTAGCCAAGGGCCATTATTAACACTCACCACCCTGTGACCAAATTCCACTGTCCAGTTCTTTACAGTAGTGTATGAAGGGGTAACCTGCACTGTGCTAATCCATATATTTCTACCTTTTTATTTCTCCTACTTAAAACAGTAGCATATACATTGCCATCACACACCAAACCAAATGTATGCAGCCCGTTTCAGTAGTGGGGTGCTGTAGCGATATGTGGATGGCACCATAGGAATAAAAGCAAAATATATATATATATCATTAGCACACCTTAGTTCAGTGAAGTAAAACTGCCTTTATTAGCAACAAAAAGGCATGCCACAAAAGAAAATGAAATGAACATTAGAAACAGTGAATTCTTACAGATAAACCGCATCATTATCAAATTTACAAGGCACAGAGTGAAAAGTTTACTTATTTGCGACTTGATATTAGTAAAAAAGAATGAGGTTTTCTTTGGAAAGAAGATTGCTGAACTTGCATTTTCCCTAAGCCAAACTACTGCCTGCACGCAACTACTTGAGGTGGAAGTGTGTGTAAGTACACTAATTAAAAGATGGCTTATTTGTCAGCATATTTAGGAAACTCCTTTTTTTTGGCATGTGGCAGTAATTAATTACCAACTTAAAATAAAAATAATAACGGAAGTCTGTGGCACATTGCCAACATGTTTCTTAGTAGAGCTGCCAGTTCTTTCATACTTTGATTAACTTTCATATTTCAAGTGATCCACCAGATGTCAGTAGACAACTTACTTATATCTCTCCTCATCGTGCTTGAGAATATGAACTTAATTATACAGTATATGCATTATTTCAGCTATTTAAAGTAATGCTTTAGAACTGAATTAGTGTTTGACAGTAATATACAGGTTTACAAGGGAATTTGCACTTTGTATAGGTAGTTTCCATTAGCTTGGTGAATGAGGTGATATTTCAGTTTGCAAAGAATACCCAATCAGGAGCATGGAAAATAAAAAAAAAACCAGTACTATTGATTGCACATGATTGGATGGTGGAAGTCAGCAGTGCTTCACTTTGTTCACCTAACTAAGGGGAAACTTCCCCAGCAAAGTTCAAATTCCCTTGCCAAGTGAACAGCCTATTTGCCTTTAGTAAATCAACCCCCATGGTATTACAAGAGTCTTGGACGCTGAGGCATTGTGGCAGAGCTACTACCACTGCAGCGCTTTTAAATAGACACTGTCACTTCACCGGTTCATGACAAAGTAACAGTATCTTCACATAACCCACTCCCCAGCCATGTAAACGTACCCAGCCTTAAGCCCTTGTTACCTCCTTACTGCCAGAGGTCTCGCTAACAGAGCTGGACGTCTTTGTTTGGAAGAGCATGTGACCTTCCCTATGTAACAGTGCCTGAGCAGCCGATCAATCAGGCCCAAGCACATTGGGGGTGCCATGATGGCCTTTTTGTCTAAATTCTGACACCAGTCCATTCTAGCAGAATTGCTGGTGTGGGGAGGTTGCAAGGAAAGCTGAGCTTGGCAAAACATGTCGGGGGGGTTTGCGCTATGGACAGACAATGTGCCTAAATGGGCAAAGTGTCAGTGTCTTTCAAACTACTAGAAGTCCATGTGAAAAAACAGAAACCACTTTCTCTTACAGTCTTTTCCATGACATTATTAGCAGACGATATAGTACCAAGCATGAAAATGGAAATGCCTACCATTTTAAAAGCAATGTACATACAAAAGCCCCTTTCACATGGACACTGTCAGTTATGATAAGTAGGGAATCCATGCATGGATCCGCTGCTGATTGGCTGACATGGAGCAGTAAGGAACGGATGTCACAGTTGTGACACCTGTGTTCACCCAGTTTTTAACTCCATCTCACTATGAAGGAAAAACTGAACTTACTGGACTAATATTAAATCTATGGGGAGTCGGAAGTAAACAAACATGTGTTGGTTTACATCAGATTACTCCAGATCCATCACGATCAGGTCTGCCAAAACAGA